AGAACTTTCCTGCAATGCAGGAAATGTAAAACTTGTAGTGTATTTGAGGTTTTAAAAGGCTTCTGAAGTTTGTAATTTCCACTTTGAAATGTCAGACTTGATTTTCCTTTATGAAAAATGTATCAACCCCTACAAAAATGTCCATGAATTATAATCCACATAATAATTCACATTTCCTGTTGCTGCAGGATTATTTTCCTGCTGTAGCAAACTGGCTCAAATTAAGATCTTACATCTGTATATACACACATGAACATTCACTTAGTCAAACAAATAACACGCTTAGATTCACACACACGGACACAGTCGTCATCAAAACTAAGACCGGTAGCATCATTACTTACATCTGAGACCATGGTTTGGGATATAGAACGGGATGTCTTAAGAAATCAACAATTGTAACGTGAGTAGCTTCTCTCAACAGTCAGAGACAGTGAGTGTCATCCATACACACAACAACACAGTAGTAGATCAATACTCTCTCGGAGAACAACAATGGTGCGTTTAGGAGGGAGCAACATTCTGAATACCGCAGATAGAACTGTCATGAACGTCTTATAAAGAACAAACATGATTCCCTATTATACAAGTTTATTATTGCCATTTGTAGGTAAAGAATATGTAGTATATGTTTCGCAACACTGAAGCATGTCTGTTCTCTATAATACATTTCTATCTACATTGTTGTTTAACGTTGGACTCCCCTGAACGTGACCCAGGTGGGCACTACTACCACTAAAACCTTAACTAGTCAACAGCAGCACTGAAACCTTTATGCTCAGTTAAGATCCTTGGCATGGAGCCGCGCACCAGTCCAATCTATCTCTGTGAAACTTTCCTTTGTATCCGTTTAGCAGGTGGTAAATTCAATGTCGTGTCAAGGTTGTAGGGATAACGCTCACTGTCTCACATTGGACCTCACAGACGATCTCAATCCTGATTCTGGTGACATAGGTGGTGTCCTAAATGACATCCTTATCTCCATAGTGCCCTACATTTTACATTTTGGGACACTATATAGAGAAAATGATATCATTTGGGCTCCTACCATACCGTCTGACTCATTTAGGCGTTTGTGTGGGGTTGATTATTGGTTTGTGTTTATTTGTTATGTTCTATTACCCCCACCCCCCCATAATATAGGGGTGGATTTTGTAGCTCTTGGATTAAGACGTTTAGAATTTTTTCTATTCACTCACCTAATCTGAATTTCAGAGTGAACAAGAAAAGGAGAACCTAAAAATATTCAAACCTCTAAAAATGACGTACACCCTGTAAATATGAACAAAATACAAATATTAGCTTTTTTTATTAATCAAAAGCAATGTATATATGATAGTTTTCATATACATTTTTGAAAATCAAAAAAATAATATATATATATATGAATGTTTGGCATATATGCATAGTTAATCACCTAGGAAAAAAGGTGTGATCAGATTTTATTATTTCTATGAACTCTGAACTAGGAGATGATTTGCACAAAACACGGTGCTAGCATTACAGCCACCAATCGTTACAGCGCATGCAGGTTGTGAAGGGAGGAACACCCTGACTCTCTGTACACTCTCCCCTCTCCTCTGTGTGGTGCGTGTATGTATGTGTGTGTGCTAGTTCAAACCCTCGAAATTAGTCCGCTGTAGCCTTAATACCATCAGAGATTCCTGGCAGTGACTGTGTCTCACACACACAAACACACTCTCACGTGGTGCACACACACATTTGCATACACAGAGACACAGACTGAACTCCATATTCATTATAGGACCCTTTGATATCTATTCATTGATGAGAGAGAGAGAGAGAGAGAGAGAGAGAGAGAGAGAGAGAGAGAGAGAGACAGAGAGAGAGAGAGAGAGAGAGAGAGAGAGAGACAGAGACAGAGACAGAGACAGAGACAGAGACAGAGACAGAGAGAGAGAGAGAGAGAGAGAGAGAGAGAGGAGAGAGAGAGAGAGAGAGAGAGAGAGAGAGAGAGAGAGAGAGAGATCAAAACAATACTGGGTGCTGAGAGCGAGAACATCAGATACAGCTGAATCTTTTTTTACATTCTGTCTGTTCCCGTATAGGCCCTGTCTGTGTGTGGGAGACTCTGTCTGCATTGGGCAGGGTTTGGGCTCTGGCTTCAATAGGAGACATAGACACAGACAATTACAGTGTTACCATCTGCCCTACAACACCTCCCTGTGACTCTCCTCATGACCAGGTGCACTGGCACTCTCTGCTCCGCGTTTCATCCTGTTACACACTCTTTGTTCCTTTTTCCATTTTCAGACTTTGAGAGTTTTTTAGGGTATGCTGTGAAGAGGTGATTTTGAAGAGGACCGACAAAAAAAGAAACAAAGAAGGAAAAACGTGCCAAAAAATAACTAAAAACTTTCAATGGTGTATTTTTCTTAATAGGACTACCTTAGATTCGAAGTTGTTGAGCTGTTACTCAGTAATATGGTGCCATCTCCTGGGAATCTTGAGAAATACAGACATTCATTTAGCTTCTCCACTGTCTGGACACAACCTTTTTGGAGTGGAACTCCAGTCGTTTTTATGTTTTGTAAAGGAATATATATATATATATATATATATATATATATATATATATATATATATATATATATATATATATATAACCTGAAAAATGACTGGTATTTTATGAGCTTTGCATTATTAACATTTCTATTTCTATTTTGAGACAAGGTATCAAAGTATTGCTTGGTTTAAATGTGATGAAGGTTGTTGTATGGCTTGTCTAACTGATGCTGAGAGATGCTGACATGGGTTTCAACACACAGCACATATGTACACACATACTGTACACACGCACACGCCGGCATACACATGTGCTCACACACACAGTGCAGTTTGGACTCCAGTTGCTTTCCTGGTTAGAAAACACGTCAGTAACAGAGAACCTAGTTGGACCCCTTAGTAGGTTTACCACAGGTAGCCTATACAGATGCAAACCCATGCTGCGGGACACAGAAAGGTGAGGTAGACACTTCATTCACACCAATGAGTTTCTCTGTACGGTCGACTTCCTCTTCTTTTCTAATCAACAAAGCACAATCTACACGGTGAGAGGGTATCTGGTAGACCCACCACTGGATCCAATGATCTTATCGTCATTCAAAGGGTTTTTCTTCATTGTTGACTTTCTCCTTGTTTGCACTGTGAAGTTTAACATGGTGGATCTATCACAGGCTATGTCTGGGCCTTGCCTGGCCAATCTAAACATCCCCTCATCTTGATCCCCAGGCATCCCGGCTCTTTATCTTCCTCAAAGACACTGAACTCCACACAGAACTGTAGCCTGGCTGAAACTAATGATGAACACTGGATTAATGACAACCTCAGTAGATTAATATTATTCAGTAGTTTAGCATTGTTGGATTAATCCTGACAGCATATACAGTATGTTTCAAATGTGGTAGGAGGTGAAACTGTGAAAGGTCAGATTGCTAGCTAACTAGAATAAAATAGTAGCGTTCACTTTGGTGCTATAGATGTACAGATTTTTGCCAGACAGTGTTACTGTGACTATTGGTAACGCCAGTATTTTAAGATACAGTTCTGTGTAATCTCAGATACAGGAAGGGCAATTGTTTTTGCTGTTGAAATTAAAATAGCCTCATCAATTAGTCTGTAGAGAGGGAGATATAGGCTACCTGCTTCTAACTAGCATCTGAGGGTGAAGATGGGGAGAAACCATGTCTACTCCCAAACACACCATGCTGAAAGAGGTCAGGGCAGAAGCGGGTAAACAGACTGGAATAGAAGACAGAACAGTGGCCAATGGCCATTGAGTAGATTTCTGGAAAAAAACAATCATGGAAAACACAACAAATATTATGGTCAGTCCCACCATTGACAAGATCAGTTGAACCCTTTTCACCCAGAGGCATGGTTCTCTTATCATCCATAAGGGAACAGATAGGGAAGGGAGGCAGGGTAGTGAGGCCGAGGCAGGTCCACAGCTGTGATAGCTCCACCACAGAGATCTATGTTTGTTATATTATGTAATAAATTTATAATTAAAAACATGAATCCTGTGTATCAGCTCCTCATTGGTCTCGCTGCTGAGATCTACTTTGGCCAAAGCTTTAGCTGTGCCAACTGCCATGTCAGTTGTGACCGGAGTTATTCCCCTGGAAAACTCAAGAGGCCCTCTGGTGGAGAATTGCTGCCTTGTGGCTCTGTAGTTTAACAGTAGTCAGTGAAGAATAAAAAAAATTAATTCCAAATCATTTATAACCTGGGTTAAAACCCTGAGTGAAGCACACCGGCAACAGACATAGTATGTAATGAAATTGGCCTTTTTTTATCACAGTTCATAGGATACAATGGGATATCATACAGATAAAAAAAAAGTGTTTTCCATAGAGAACATTAAGGGCTCTATTCAATCCATATCGCAGGAGTTCAGAGTGATTTAAATGTGAAGGCAATGTTACATTTCTATTGTGCAATCTAACACTTCAGTGATATAGATAGAAAACAGTCCTTGAGTTCTATTACACATAGATCATGAACCTCTTAGAAGTGGTCATTCATTGTAGTTCTGTACTTCCGCAACACTTCCAGTTGACTAACATCATATATATGTATATCTAACTTGTACATACGTAAAAATGTATGCGCACATGACTGTAAGTCGCTTTGGATAAAAGCGTCTGCTAAATGGCATTTTTTTTTTTTTTTTTTACATTGATCGATAACTGCACTGGAATGAATTATTGGTGAAATTGATGCAGCCTTGCCATGTCAGGTGACAAGTATTGAGGATTTAAACCACACTGAAATAATATCTAACAGTCGCTAATGCCATCGCATGGTTACAAGGTACATTCATTGTTTAAAATACATAATAATATAAATAATAATATGCCATTTAGCAGACGCTTTTATCCAAAGCGACTTACAGTCATGCGTGCATACATTTTTGTGTATGGGTGGTCCCGGGGATTGAACCCACTACCTTTGCGTTACAAGCGCCGTGCTCTACCAGCTGAGCTACAGAGGACCACAAGACAATACATGAAAGACATGACATAAAAGCTCTGGCTTTACACTGTAGCACTTAAGAGCAACAATAGCAGCCTTTACATACATGTACCCCACTATCACCTTAAATTGTACAAATCCCCATAAACGTGTGGTAAAAGCTTCAGAGAGCAAAAGCTGATGACAAAATCACAAGTAGCAAAGACTTCACGTTCACAGTTTCACTTTGCTCTCCAAAAATAGCAGGAATAGGAATGATAGCCCCACATTTTAAAACGCTTCAAATTCTAGATCACCTCAAATAAATAGCCTGCTTCACACACTTTGGCACACGTTCCCCCTGCCTGACAACATCTATCCTACAGTATGTTTGTTCTCACATCAATAGATTTCCCCAGCTCTCACAGGTCACTACTATTATATGGGTCAAGGGTTAGCATTTCCGTAGCATCAGTCCCACAGAAGCATGGCTCTCCCATGGCATAAAATACACACGAGGAGAATGTAAGGATAACATGTCCACAAAGTGAGAATAACATGAATATAACATATCCACAACATCAGTCACTCAGGAGCAAGGCTCTCCCATGGTAGAGATGTAGAATGTCGACATTATCTGGATAACATATCCACAGTGTCCATAGCTGCATTGTAGTCAGAATCAGAGCTCTTGTGTTCACAACGTCAGTATAAAGTAAAGATAACGTGTCAATAATGTGAGGATAATGTATCCACATCAACATCCAGTCAGACAGACTCAGGGCTCTCTGGTTTCAGTCCCTCCTCAGCCGTCTGTAACGACTCCTCCTTGTTCTGCTCCAGCTCAAAGTTCTGCAAGTCAGAGATGAACAAAAAAAACATAATAATAAATGTATTTTATATCGCGCTTTTCATACAGAATCTCAAAGTCGCTAAAAAAAAAAGTTATACAAAATAATAATTCAGGGAGCTGGCTGTCGATGGGAGATGGTCTTCCACAGATAGATTATGATGATGCAGTTCAGAAAAGGAGTAGCTTTAGTGCACTTAAGTCATTTAGGGCACTATTCAATCTGAATGAAGCGTTAGATTGTTCGCTAGAAATGTAATCTTCAGCGCTACGGATTGAATAGAGACCTTAGACTCTAAAATGGACCTCAGTAAGATGTGTATTACACATCATCTGCAGGCTGCTGCTTTTTGCCCACCACCACCACCACACCCCACCCCACCCCACGCCTGCTTTTGGTTCTGCTCCCTACCCCTAGCTTGGCTATGATCAAATTAATTACCTGAGCACTTCCTTGGGCAGGGAGCACCCTGCAGATCAGAGCCTAAACGCTAAGACCAAATGTATTATCGTTCACATTTTCTGTTCAATGAAATGTGATGTGCACCGAATACATTAATTCTAATTACAGTGCCAGAGCAACTGTCAGTCAAACAGCTGCAGGTAACTCTGGAGAGTGAAACAAAGGAAATAAGAGGGCATATATTATCAGAGTGCTTTTATCCAGAGAGAGAAATATGTACCTCTAGCTCCCGCATCACTTCATCCATGAAGTCACTAGTGTTCTGCTTGTAAGACATCGCCATCTTGATCGTTTCTTTAAACATCTAGGATACATTTTTAGAACACAGAATTTCCCCCCCCCTTTTTTTGTTATGCATGGGAATACAGTATACAGACAGAGTATGGTGTGTAATTAAGGAGGTCAGTGTTGTCCATCCTCACCTTGACCACATTGGTCCCATCAGCAGCAGATACAAAGTACAAAGGAAGTCCCTGCTTCTTGGCAAAGTTAAAGTTCCTCTGGGTCACCTTCATATCAGCTGCAAACAACAGAAACAACCGAGTAAAAAATAAAGTGGGAAGGGAATAGAAGATGTGAAGAATAAGCCTGTCTGGCTGGTCTCACCATCTATCTTGTTAGCCACCACCACACAGGGGATCTCAGGCCTGTACTCTCTCAGCTCTGTGTACCAGTTGGTCAGGTTCTTATAGGTGATCTTCCTCTGCACGTCAAACACCTGACAAACCCAGGTACAGTCAATGATACAGGCTATGACATAAGTGCAAGCCTTGTAGTAGTATTGTCTTAGAAGCTAGCATGAAGTCTTACCATGATACAGGCGTGAGCCTTGTGGTAGTACGAGGGATGCATGCTCTGGAACCGCTCCTGTCCAGCCGTATCCCAGAAGTCTTTGGGGCAGACATAAGCACAAACACAGCTGAAGGCAACCAAACAGATAGCATGGCAACCAGATAACAGAACAGCAGGATTATGGTTCACAGCAATAACAGATCAGTTTATTTAAAACCAGCTGACTATTTTAACAACTCATCAGTTTAAACCAGAGATTTTGATAAGGAAACAATTCATAAACATACCTACTAATACAGCCTTTCTGTCAATGGTGGTAGTGTATTTGTAGAGCGTCAGGGCATAGGTTGACAGCTGCTGGGGGCGACTGGAGAACAAGTTAAGGAATATAATAAACTCTGTCAACTATCTGTACCGTAGCTACAGCATATGGTAACATTGCTGGTCAAAAGGCATGTCGGCACGCTGGATGACTGACCAGTTACAAGCTAAATCGGTCACTGCATGAAGAATTGAGAAGGCATTGGGTTTCTCTCCATTTACTACTATCAACATTAGGCAACACTTACTTAGCTACATTAACCCAAAATACTGATAAATGTATTCTGTAATCATGTGACACTCAACCCAATTGCAGAATGAATAGATGAGAAAGGATACTATCCGTCAATCAGGAACCTCTCCATCAACCTGAAAGACAACAAGAGGCCGTTAGGGAGCATGCCAGCTATCTCCTGGGTCACAAAAAGTAAGCACTATCATCTTTGAGGTGAATTTGCTGTGACAAGAGATAGCTGGCATGCTCCCTAACTCCGTACTTCGATTTGCCCACTGCACTGTCCCCAAGGCAGATGATTTTGACTTGCTCATCTGCATCATATTTATCTTGGTCCAGTTCAGGAATGCCACTGGCGTCGCCTGCCATCCTTACTTCAGGATGGCGAAATCAGCTGCGTCGCAAAGCGGCTTAGTTAGCTAGCTACCTGGTTAGAAGTTAACTTTAGCTAGGAACAAGATGACTAACTGCACTTAGTCTGTGATTACACTGTGACTAACGCTAGCTAGCTTCTGAGTTAGCTAAATTAAACCGCTTAACGTTACCTAGACACACCTTTGCATGTAACTGTTACGTTATGACCCGAATCCATTTGAAGTCATATGTCCAAGCTAACGTATTAGCTAGCGAAACTGGTGTGTTTTCAACTCGTTGGTTATCTAACTAGCTAACGTTAGATTACGTTTAGCTAATGTAGGCTTACATCCAGTCAGGAGCATTTGATATGTCTGGCTAGCTATATCTAACAACCTTATTTAGCTGTCAATAGTCTAGCAAAATAAGTAGCAAAACGTTAACGTAGCTATCGATGGAAAAACATTGTAGCTAGTTAGCTAGCATCTTCATGCTCTTGTAGCAACTGCTTCCATAGAGAATTTCTGTTTCTATGCAACGCAGACGCTACAAGCCCCCCCTTTTTTTAAACGAGGCTGTTCCTATTATTGCCTGAAAATATATATTCTTCTTCTTCGGTGGGGTTTATCGGCGGTTGGCATCCAACGTTATAGTGCATTACCGCCACCTACTGTACTGGAGTGTGGGCCAGAGACAGGAAGAAACGAAATCCTACCTAGATGACAAAATATTTGAGACTATATCTAATGACGTTCTACTCAATATCCTCTTTAAACTAATTTCCTGTATCCCCTTCTCCCTAGATCTCATCCTCTCTCTTTCCCTCTGATACTGCCCACACTGTAGCAATACATGCTCCACGGTCTCTGTTTCCTTACAATAATCACACTTTCCTGTTGGATGCTTTCCTATCACATTTAAGGTCTTATTCAACTGGCTGTGTCCCACCCTTAATCTTGTAAAAATAGCCTCCTCTCTTCTGTCCCTTCCTGCCGTCCTCCCCTCCCCGACTTTCCTCTGTACTTGAAATAAATGCATTCCCTTATTATCTATATTCCACTGCTCCTGCCATCTCTGCACCATCACTGTATATATCAGTATTTTTGCCTCTGCCTTGCTCATTGAAACTTCAACATCAACATCTCCACTACTAAGTGCTTGTTTAGACGGTTCATCTACTGCCTCGTTCCCCTCCACCCCCACATGGGCTGGGACCCAAGTACATCTTATCTGAAAACCCATCTGTTTAATCCTGCCATGGTTTTGTAGCACCTCATAAAGCAGGTATTGTCTGCTATGTGAGCTAAAGGACTGGAGACCCATTAACACTGCACATGAATCAGAGTAAATAACTACTCTGTCTTGTTTGACTTCCTCCACCCACTGCAAGGCCAACAGTATGGCCATCAGCTCTGCCGTGTATACAGCCAGATGACCTGTAATACGTTTCCTGACTTCCACCCCACATTCCTGCACTACAAATGCTGACCCAGTACGTCCTGTCCTTGGATCTTTTGAACCATCTGTGTAAATGGCCACACAATCCTGATACACAGTTTCCAGACGTCTCTTAAAGAAATCAGCTGGATCAACACCCTCCCTATATTTCTGTAGTCTCTCCAACACTTCTAGATCAACTACTGGAGGCGGGAGTAGCCATGGTGGATTTACAAGAATAACTACTGTTGAACTAAACTCCCTTCCATACAGTCCCATCTCTTTTGCCTGGGTATTACCCACCCAAAGCTTGTGTTCTGTCTTCGCTCATGTTCCCAGCATGCCTGTACAAACCCTTTCGCAGGATGAGACACCCCATGTAAAAATATATCTTGGTCGCCAACGTTCTTATTATACCTCATTATACCGCAGCGTTGTTGAATACTAGTTTATGATTGGCTAAATTCTGTTGCGAAACGTTGCTTAAACAGAAGCAAAAAAGTGGAAGGACTAGTCATTGGGGATCTCAAATCAAATCAAATTTCATTTGTTACATGTGCCGAATACAACAGGTGTAGTAGACCTTACAGTGAAATGCTTACTTACAAGCCCTTAACCAACAATGCATTTTTAATGCAAATAGTCTGGGTAGCCATTTATTAGATGTTTAGGAGTCTTATGGCTTGGGGGTAGAAGCTGTTTAGAAGCCTCTTGGACATAGACTTGGCGCTCCGGTACCGCTTGCCGTGCGGTAGCAGAGAGAACAGTCTATGACTAGGGTGGCTGGAGTCTTTGACATTTTTAGGGCCTTCCTCTGACACCGCCTGGTATAGAGGTCCTGGATGGCAGGAAGCTTGGCCCCAGTGATGTACTGGGCCGTACGCACTACCCTCTGTAGTGCCTTGCGGTCGGAGGCTGAGCAGTTGTCATACCAGGCAGTGATGCAACCAGTCTGAATGCTCTCGATGGTGCAGCTGTAGAACCTTTTGAGGATCTGAGGACCCATGCCAAATCTTTTCAGTCTCCTTAGGGGGAATAGGTTTTGTTGTGCCCTCTTCACGACTGTCTTGGTGTGTTTGGACCATATTAGTTTGTTGGTGATGTGGACACCAAGGAACTTGAAGCTCTCAACCTGCTCCACTACAGCCCGTTGATGAGAATGGGGGTGTGCTCGGTCCTCTTCTTTTTCCTGTAGTCCACAATCATCTCCTTTTTCTTGATCACGTTGAGGGAGAGGTTGTTGTCCTTGCACCACACAGCCAGGTCTCTGACCTCCTCCCTATAGGCTGTCTCGTCGTTGTTGGTGATCAGGCCTACCACTGTTGTGTCATCTGCAAACTTAATGATGGGGTTGGAGTCGTGCCTGGCCATGCAGTCATGAGTGAACAGGGAGTACAGGAGGGGACTGACCACGCCCCCGTGTTGAGGATCAGCGTGGCGGATGTGAAGTTACCTACCCTTACTACCTGGGGGCGGCCCATCAGGAAGTCCAGAATCCAGTTGCAGAGGGAGGTGTTTAGTCCCAGGGTCCTTAGCTTAGTGATGAGCTTTGAGGGCACTATGGTGTTGAACGCTGAGCTGAAGTCAATAAATAGCATTCTCACATAGGTGTTCCTTTTGTCCAGGTGTGAAAGGGCAGTGTGGAGCGCAATAGAGATTGCATCATCTGTGGATCTGTTGGGGCGGTATGCAAATTGGAGTGGGTCTAGGGTTTCTGGGATAATGATGTTGATATGAGCCATGACCGGCCTTTCAAAGCACTCCATGGCTACAGACATGAGTGCTACGGGTCGGTAGTCATTTAGGCAGGTTACCTTAGTGTTCTTGGGCACAGGGACTATGGTGGTCTGCTTGAAACATGTTGGTATTACAGACTCAGATAGGGAGAGGTTGAAAATGTCAGTGAAGACACTTGCCAGTTGGTCAGCGCATGCTTGGAGTACACGTCCTGGTAATCCGTCTGGCCCTGCGGCCTTGTGAATGTTGACCTGTTTAAAGGTCTTACTCACATCGGCTACGGAGAGCGTAGATCTTTGGATCTACCTGAATTTGTCCAATAGAAACTCTAGTTTTAGTTGCAAAACTTCTGTTTTGGACTAATGATTGTATCCATGTTTTCTTTTTCCATGAGTGAAAAAAGTACATTCATTGTCATTGTTGAAAATGTCTTTATTGATTGATTACCACGTTTTGACAAGTTTGGCAATGTCATATCATACCTGGGCTACCTATTGAGATGTGCCTTTTGTTAAGTAAATCAGGTGTTCAATGAGGTGAAAAGGAGACTGGAATAGGATTTTAAGGGTTTCACAAAATATGAAGGTAGGCCACAGGTGAAGTAGTGTTTGTGCAGTAGGACTAATCCTTTTTTTCACAGAAATATTCATAACATTCAAGCATGCTGGATAGCCTATGTATTCTTCTCAGTTATTCAAATAAAATGTGTGATAAACCATTGTGTTTATTAATATAAAAAATAACTAACTTTTTCATCTCATCATCAACAAGGATATGTGATTGTCAGGTTAGCTTGTCAGCATCATTTTACTCAATGCAGCATAGGCCCTACATAACAATAAGGCACAAGTAACTGCTTTCTTCAGTGCAGAGCATTTTGATACTGCTTTATTTATTGCTGGGTTAAGGGGGTAGAGGAAATGGAAGGAGAAATGGGAAGGAGGAGAAGAAGGAAGGGAGGAGAGGGAAGGGCTCCTATTACACCACGTCCACGATGAGTGGAGCGATGAACTCGGAATGACGAATTCCGAAAGAGAAGCTAGGAGGTTTGATCCTGGTGAAGGTCACCTACCAACGGAAGACAGGCAGTTAGGGCACTACCCATGCAACAGTGGGTAGAAAAACACTTTGTAGAAGATATTTTCATATTTTTTCTTTTAAGATGTTAATCATTGCACAACAGTAATATTAGAGTGATATGGTGATGATGAGGTGACTTGCCTGTTCAGGGTGGTGAGCTCCGGGGCCTGGTTTCATGGTGGTGTCTCCAGGCATGCTGTTGCGTCCTGTCATGCTGTAGTGGGGGGGCTTGTGTTTGTAGGTGCAGGGGTCCACCACTCTGTATGTCCCTGGACCAGGGGTCTGATGGACAGATGGAAACACAGGGAAGAAGTCTGAGGGAAGAAACAATTAACAATAGGCCTACTAATGCAAACTGTTCATCTTCCATAAAGAGGACAGGTGAGATGTCCATTTGGAAGAGTCTGTGTTTGACATGTCAGATCTACCTTCTGCAGGTCCTCGTGGAAGCTGCCTATCTTGCTGCGTCCTCGGAGGGAGAAGTTAGGGGCGGAGGTTTTGTTGACGGTGGCAGGCCCCAGCACAGAGGGCAGCATGTAAGCAGCAGGGCCTGAGAGAAAGCACACAAACAATCACATTCCGTAAGTACACCAACATTCTATTCCACATTTCTATACACCATCATTTTATTCCACAGTTCTATCCCATTCTGTCAGTCTTCATCGAACATGCTATCACTGAACATTCTTATCACTGAACATTCTATCGATCACATTCTAAAACTCTACAGCCAGCATTCTAATCTACGTCTCTTAAAGCCACAGTGTTGGACTGTTATCATTATTGAAGAGGATGTTACCTGGGGTCTGGTCGTTGCGGAAGCCTTTGCTCCTGGCAGACAGGGAGTAGGCAGGGGCAGAGTAATATGCAGACTGCCCTGACCTCTCAGGGGAGTAGCGGCCTGAAACACCAAACAGACAGTAAGAACACAGTCTCATATTATATGTGTTGAGTCTGTATGTGTTGTAGTTTCTGAGAGACGGTGTGTGAGTTTTGAGCATGCTTGTGTGTGTGAACTTGCAAGTGTGTGTGTTACTGACCAGGTCCAGGGGTTTGGAACAGCTGGGGGTCTTTGGGGCGGCTGTAGAGGGAGTATGAAGGGGTCCCGTCACGCCCAATCCTGGTGATGTTGGAGGGAACCAAGTACCCCGGCCCGGGGGAGCAGTCTGAGCTGAACTTGTGGTGGCGCGTCCCAAAACTGAACGCTGGCCCTTTCAGCATTCTGGGGTCATGGTAGTTCAGACCTGAAGGAGAGGTGAAGATGATTGCCCATGTCAGTTTATACCCCAAAATAAAACCAATCAACCAACTAATCAATAGGTAACAACCAATCAACCAATGAATCAATCAGTCAATCACTAAGTTAGTTGTACCAGTGGCTCCAGGCAGGGCATACTTGGGTCCAGGGCTGCTGTAGAGAGCAGCGATGGGGCCACGGGGCTTATGGGGCCTCCAGGAGCCAACCCAAACATCAATGCCTGACATGATTAGTCTGGGGAGGAGAGAAGACAGAGGTTAGAATCTATTAACCAGTTTAGATTCCCATCCTCAATAGTCATTTCCATCAAAACATTCTAAAAACTATTTTTAGGATAGCTGTAAGCAGATTGCCAATCATTCTGGTAATTGGCAACCTTGTTAGTGCTGGTGTGTCAGTGCTCGTGTCTGGAGCTCCTTTGTCTGTTTGGTTGGTGTTCGAAACTAACTTTGGCGCAATAGTGACGTGCACGTCACTATTATGTAATATAATAATGTCATGCGCTCAACTGGCGCGCTAAAGTTTCTTAGCAACTGTGCACTGAAGGCAGGTGAGAAATGGCTGTGTGTGACTGTTACTTGCTTTACTCAATAAAATAGGTCGATTATTTTAACTGTTATACATTATTTTAAAAAATCATAATACTGTCTATGGGTCCCTGCTGCCTCAACCGATTTCATCTTAATCTAGATTCTCTCTCGAAAATAAAAAGTTCACGTCGCAGCATTCTAGTAGTGACGAAAGTATTGAACGAGCCTACCACCATATAGCCTACTAACGTTACTGTAGTCAATATAGGAGACGGTCGATCAAAAAAGTTATTCCACACCAACCATGACCGCGCGTCTGGTCTGGCTGTATTATCATTTCCAAGCTTATCTAAATGGACATCCGTCGGCAAGATAAACATTGATCGACCTTATCTACAATCTGTATTGTAGTTAGTTGTATTCTTGGCACTGGGCGCGTCGCCCTAGGACACAGCACGTGGATTGGACCAACCTGGGTCCCTGATTGTTTATGACTTTGGTTGTCCTCAAACTCACTACGACGACGTTACCATGGAGACGCAACTTTGACAGGCAGGTCAGATTTATATCACAATGTGGCAAAAAAACAAACATGTTGTTAATAATTTACCAAAATGAAGAACACAATTATTCATGTTGTTTTTGTTATGCAATGCAGTCAGAACTTGTTAAAAAATATGCTGTGTCTGTCTAGATCTGTCTGTGTTTTGACAGCTGGATAAACCAGCAGACATTAAACCTACCAATTGACCCCCAATATTACGGAAACTCGGCTTTTTCAAAATTATAGATATTTGCAGCCGGCCGCGACCGGGAGACCCATGGGGCGGCGCACAATTGGCCCAGCGTCGTCCAGGGTAGGGGAGGGTTTGGCCGGCAGGGATGTTCTTGTCCCATCGCGCACTAGCGACTCCTGTGGCGGGCCGGGCGCAGTGCACGCTGACTCGGTCGCCAGGTTTATGGCGTTTCCTCTGACACATTGGTGCGGCTGGCTTCCGGGTTAAGCGGGCACTGTGTCAAGAAGCAGTGCGGCACGGTTGGGTGGTGTTTCGGAGGACGCACGACTCTCGACTCTCGACCTTCGCCTCTCCGGTGTCCGTACGGGAGTTGCAGCGATGGGACAAAATACAAAAATATATAATAATATAGATATTTGATGGAAGAGTCAGAATAATTCCTTAAATAACCACAAGGTGGTGGCATTGCTCAGCTCTGTCAATTGACACCCAATTCACTCAAACAGGCTACGTAGGCAGCCTCTGTACTACTGGGTGTACACAATGTTTACATTGTATTTTAAGGACAGATGTGATTTCACATAAATGTTCAATTACAATGTTCTCAAGAGAAACAGCTTGCATGGTGTGTTCATTTTAACATCTCATCTGCACTTGACTGAAAATGTGCCTGTGCCTTGAGTGTTCAGAATACATCAAAGTCAACTAATCTAACAGTGGTTTTGGCATTAGTTAAACATTTGACATCCAGACCTTTATAATGTGACAAGTACATAAATATGTCTAGGCCTGATTGAGACAATAATAAACCTGTTTACTGTCGCCTCTCGATCAAACTCACTTTAATGCGCCTCATTTCTATGGGGTTTAGGATCTGAGTAGCAGGCTGACGGCTTTTAAAATGATGATTAATGAAAAACTTAAACAAAACCTTTGTGGAAAATTAAGGATCAGGAGGTTAAATATAATCAAATAAAATTTATCAGCATTCAGATTATTGAGTATGGTAGGTCACCTTCCAATGGAAGACAGGCAGTTAGGGCACTACCCATGCAACAGTGGGTAGAAAAACACTTTGTAGAAGATATTTTCATATTTTTTCTTTTAAGATGTTAATCATTGCACAACAGTAATATAAGAGTGATATGGGGATGATGAGGTGACTTGCCTGTTCAGGGTGGTGAGCTCCGGGGCCTGGTTTCATGGTGGTGTCTCCAGGCATGCTGTTGCGTCCTGTCATGCTGTAGTGGGGGGGCTTGTGTTTGTAGGTGCAGGGGTCCACCACTCTGTATGTCCCTGGACCAGGGGTCTGATGGACAGATGGAAACACAGGGAAGAAGTCTGAGGGAAGAAACAATTAACAATAGGCCTACTAATGCAAACTGTTCATCTTCCATAAAGAGGACAGGTGAGATGTCCATTTGGAAGAGTCTGTGTTTGACATGTCAGATCTACCTTCTGCAGGTCCTCGTGGAAGCTGCCTATCTTGCTGCGTCCTCGGAGGGAGAAGTTAGGGGCGGAGGTTTTGTTGACGGTGGCAGGCCCCAGCACAGAGGGCAGCATGTAAGCAGCAGGGCCTGAGAGAAAGCACACAAACAATCACATTCCGTAAGTACACCAACATTCTATTCCACATTTCTATACACCATCATTTTATTCCACAGTTCTATCCCATTCTGTCAGTCTTCATCGAACATGCTACCACTGAACATTCTTATCACTGAACATTCTATCGATCACATGTATGGCCAAAACGCAGTTATGTTCTTTGGAAATGTTCTCTCCAGCACTCACTTTTGAGTGATTTTATGCCTTATTTCTCTTGCATGGTTGTCAATTTACACAGTTCCTGGATAAAGGTGTCAATGTCACTCTAGAGAGCACTAATGGAAAGTGGTAAATTGAAAGAGGGAGATATATATCTAGAAAGACATACGTAAAATGACGAAGAGAGAGAGAAACTACTCAAAGTAGCCCCGAAAAAGCCAGCTCTTTAATAGTGGTGCATTAAATAATTGAACCCCCCCCCCCCCCCCCCCCCCCCAGTAGTGAAATATGATTGGCTATACAGACACTGGCTCCAGACCCCTTCATGGCATGAATATCTACATCACTTGTGGTTTGGTGCTCATCTCTCTGAATTGACCAGCTAAGCACAGATTCCAATCTCTCAAGTCCCTACATAGTTTTGGATTATTGATGCTTGAGTCTGATGCTAAACCGTGATAAGCTTTGAGACGTAGTCAATAAAGGTTAGAGCCTGTGACCGGGTGTTCTATTAAACAGCCTTCCATGCCTGTCCAACCTCTCACTCTAAAGACATCTGAGTCTCTCTGTCTGAATCCCATTACTCTGTCTAATTAAAAACTTCAACCCGTAGCGCTGCCCTCCAGGGCCAATAGTCCCAGGACCTCTGAACTGGCCCCTGCCGTAGCACGCTGCTTTCATTAGATTAAACACAATAATGAGAAAATCTTTTGTCTTTGCATATAATTAAGGCTCAGATGAAGGACGTGTTGATCGATGGCATGGAGTGACAGGTTCGTAAATATGTTAGAGCTGCCGATGAGGTCCTGCCAGGGATCAATAGAAAATGTCCAGCTCAGATTGGAGTGCAGGGATAGGCTGTCGTCACAGCAACGGGACGTTGTCAATACTAACAACCAGTTACATCTCTCATACTGCAGACATGGATGGAGTCCTCTATCTGAGGGTGTGTGTGTGGGGGGGTCCACTCTACAGAGAGAGAGGCTCTGTGAGTGTGTGTGTCCAGTGGTTACTAATCGTAACCCTTATTCAACAAATCAAGATCTACATTAGAAATCACTTAGATTGTTCGCCTGTTTTAGTTCCGGGCTGGAATAAAAGCCAGCACACCCTGCAGCTCTCCAGGACCAGGGTTGGTGATCACTGTTTTAAAAATATATTTTTCCTTCCCGTCACTGGAGGGCAGTGTTGTCCTATATGAAAGTGAGGCTCATTCTACGCTGACAGTGTGAGACTGCGGAACACATTAGAATTGTGTGTTGCTTGTTGGACTGTGCTTAAATTAAGGAGTAATGTTTCACTATAACCAAAATATGAATCAATTATAATATTTTACATCAAAAGTGAATCGGTTTGATTTTATGAACAAGGTGCTCCTGTGTGACTCAGTTGGTAGAGCATGGCACTTGCAATGTCAGGGTTGTTGGGGGGGGGGGGGGGGTAGAAGGATTACTTTATCCTATCCCAGGTATTCCTTAAAGAGGTGGGGTTTCAAATGTCTCCGGAAGGTGGTGAGTGACTCCGCTGTCCTGGCGTCGTGAGGGAGCTTGTTACACCATTGGGGTGCCAACTACTTCTGCTTTAGTTTGAGTTTTCTACATTGTGTATTACTTTAACATGCAAGTACAAGCTATCCAAAAAACGGATTGTTGTTTTGTTTTTACCCAAGTTGTTGTTGTTTTTCTTCAAAATGTTAATGTGTAGTGTATTTGTAATTGAGACAACATGAGAAGACGAGAGATATTCCTAGGTATTGCCATGGTATTGGCTGTGTATGTTTGAGGAGATTGGAGAGAATGTCAACATGGTACACAGGCCAGTATTGACAACACTTCACTCCTCTCTCATACACAGACACAAAGCCACTGTCACATGACTGAGGTATTGGCAATTTGTCTGATTGCACCATACGGTGGGACCAGTGGCGGCTCCTGAAAAAATTCTCAGGAGGGGCAATTTTTCTGATGATTTAGGTGACCTACACACATTTAAAAAAAGATATGTCCAGCAACAACATGAAGACAGGGGCAGCATATAAGTCAATACCAGAAGCATTTATTGACTGATCTCAAAAGTGTTGGCTTACCAGGGTTGGTGGAGCCCTCAGTTTCATCTTTGCCTCGCAAAGCTAACTCAAACACTCCGCAAAACTTCACACACTGGATTAGCCGGCTGAGGATGTGGCGGTTCTTGCTAATGTCGTAGTAAATATATTTGTTATAGTGAATATGGAATATGATATGTTGAGTAAAATGTTGTGCTAAGATCTATTTAGGTCAGGAGCTGGTTATAAGTTCTGTTCCTATCCAATAACAATGGACAAAAGGGTCCTATCTTGTCAGCAGGTGGCCAAGGACAACACCCACGCCATAGGCCTCTCAGTTCTTCCAACTCACGAGTTCTTGCTCTGAGGACACACACACACACAAACACACACACACACACACATCATCACTGTTAAACACACACACACACATCATCACTGTTAAACACACACACACACACACACACACAAAAATCCCCTCTCTTAGGCTGAACATTTGAAGACAGAGAACCCGACTCAGAGCCAATGCAACAGTGACAGTAGCCTGCAGGGGACCTCGCCCAACTCATCAGGACCAATCAGAAGATCAGAACTACTAGATTGAACCTACTTCATTTATTGCATAAAATGTCTGCACACAATGTTTCGGGGCTCTCTTCAGATAATAATAATAATAATAATAATAATAATAATAATAATATGCCATTTAGCAGACGCTTTTATCCAAAGCGACTTACAGTCATGCGTGCATACATTTTTGTGTATGGGTGGTCCCGGGGATCGAACCCACTACCTTGGCGTTACAAGCACCATGCTCTACCAGCTGAGCTACAGAAAGTGGATACTCATGGATGCGCATTGCAATTGTAAAATGTCAACACAATTGGAGACACCACGTCATTTTTGGAGACATGTTATTGACAGTAAACTATTGTAGATGCGACTGCTAACTAACTAAAACATTTTAGCTGGCTAGCTAATCATCTTAGCTAAATGTGGGGCAAACAATTCAGTTATTTACCGTTAATTTGAGGGATTGGGGTGAAAGAAATCGAGTTACATAGTGATACTTTACGATATACTGTATTGACAATATCGCAATATTTTAGCGCTAGTTGGCTGTACCTGCACCAAAACACCATTATTGTTCCTTCATAGCTTGTTCTCAATCTTTTCACATTGGGAGCCAATTTGTTTTCAGCACTTTTATTTCCATGACTGATCAAAACTCGTTCTCATGGCTTTCTGATCCCTCTGCAACAGACATATGGTGCGCAATAAAATCACAGTATCGAATCGCAATACGTATAGAATCATGAGACTCGCAATGCTGATGCATATATCTTATCGTGAGGTTCCTGGCAATTCCCAGCCCAAGTTCATTTTTAAGAGTTTGACGAACGGGTCCGTGAACGCGATTCCAGATATATTTACCTCTGAATAAACTGCCTTTATTACACCATATCCACATCCAGTAAACTTGTGATTATCAACACTAACCTCATCGTTGTGGCGGCGGACAGCTAGCCTGTATCCCTCGTCATCCAGTTGAGTGAGTGGCAATGTCTTTTTTCGTTCGTACCAATTTTTGGAAAATCCTCGGGTGTAGGACTTTCCGCCTTTAGTAGAAACCTGTTGAATTATTACATTTGGTCTGGGAGGTCCTAATTGTTTCGTTGCCAATTTATCTTCATTTGTTCGCCGACAAAAAGGAACTTCTTTCAAACAATCCACTCTTTTCTCAGTTACGTTCATGGTTACGTAACGTATGACGAAAGCGCGTAAGTGCAAGCCCACAGACACCCATTGAGATTGTATTGAAGGCTCTGAAATTTGAAAAAAATAGATTTTACATGGGAGTCTATGACAGAAGTTCTGGGCGATTTTCAATCTGACTGAAATCGCCCAAAAAGGGGGTGGAGCCATTTGAAGCACGACTTTAGCCTGATTCGACATTTAGTGGCAGTGTGGCACTGTGGCAGATCAGACGTATAGATTACAACACTGATAACTACTGTTGCCGTGATATAATTGATTAGAAAAAAAATCCCTTCCTTTTCCCGTTTGGCAGTGCGTCGCCCATATCGCCCTATTGAACAGGCCGTCCCTGGGTGGGACTCTTGCTTCCAGATTAAACACAGACAGACAGACGGACGGACCACTTTGAATGTAATCAATACATTAAACAATTAACTGGAAACGGCAAAAAAATGTGCTGTCAGTGTGCTTGGAAACAGAAAGATACATTGTATTATTTTATTTATTTGACAGTGTTAGCCTCTACCCACTCATCTGTGATGACTAATGCTAGTCAATTACAGTGCTGGTGATTCCTACAGTGTTCTCAAGTACTGTTAGAGCTGCCATAGTAAAACAGTTCAGCGCCTCTATGTCCCCCTGTCTCACACACACACACACACACACACACACACACACACTCTTAACCTGCATTACCAACTACAGCCAAACTGTCACTGCTCATAATTGGGTCTCACTGTCGGGACAGAAATCAGCCTCACTGTTCAGACTAAAACTGAAACATCCCTCACTCATCCCTCATCTCGCCCCGCCCCCTGGTGAGTTTGGTGTATGTGTGTGTGTGTCTGTGTGTGAGTTTGAGTGTGTGTGACAGTGGTAGCCTGGGGGCCTGGTTGCTGTTGACAGGTAAGAGGGTTTCTGATTTGAGGAGAGCCGTCACCCAGTCGACTGCAGCTGCCTCCTCAAGTGACACCTCCCTGTTACCGGGGGGATTAGGGGTGTGTTT